TAGTGTGTGGGTGTGTGGTCTAAATATTCGGGGTTCTTTATAAACATCTAAGGTTAGTGTGTGTCTTTATTTAGACCAAATGTTAGTGTGTCTGTGAGAACATATGTGTGTGTGTGTGAGTGTCATAAGTAGATCTGGATTTGCTCCTGAGGGGTTGACGCGGTGTCCTGATGGCGTCCTGATGACGTGGTGTCCTGATGGCGTCCCGATGACGTAGCGTCCTGATGGCGTCCCGATGACGTGGCGTCCTGATGGCGTCCCGATGACGTGGCGTCCTGATGGCGTCCCGATGACGTAGCGTCCCGATGACGTGGCGTCCTGATGGCGTCCTGTTGGCCTGCAGACAAGGAGATCTAAGATCTAATTGTTAGTGTGTCTGTGTGTACATCTAATATTAATGTGTCTTTGTGTACATCTAAATGTTAGTGTGTGTCTTTGTTTAGAACCAAATGTTAGTGTGTCTGTGTGTACATCTGTGTGTGTGTGTGTGTGTCATGCGTAGATCTGGATTTGCTCCTGAGGGGTTGACGTGACGTCCTGATGGCGTCCCGTTGACGTGGCGTCCGGATGGCGTCCCGTTGACGTGGCGTCCTGATGGCGTCCTGATGGCGTCTCGTTGGTCTGCAGACAAGGAGAAGAGACGTGAGGAGGATCATCAGGATGTGAGACAAGATTCATAGATCCAATTATTTTAATTTGATGCACATTAAGTATTTCATGTTTGTATGGATGTGTAAATCTACATTATATATTTGTGGTTGTTAAACTGTATTTCTGTATTTGCTTTTTAGGTTTAGCTAGTCTCTGTGCATACCGATATGTTAGTGCGTCTCTGTGTAAGTACTTTTTACATTACATTACATTTAGCTGACGCTTTTATCCAAAGCGACTTACAATAAGTGCATTCAACCATAGGGTACAAACTCAGAAGTGCAATTTCCTCAAATAACTTTTATATGTTTTAAAAGTACTTTGTAAGTACTTTTATATGTTAATGCGTCTCTGTGTACATCTACATGACAACAGCAGGAATCAGAGGTTTATCTCAGGTATTAGCTCTAAATCACAGCCTTCTCCACCCGATAGACCAATACATCATTCACAGCAGTAAGGCTGCAGTCTGTCTGGATTTCTCACTTACCTTGAGCTCTGTTAAGTGCAGCAGAATGCGTCTTCGTCCCCTCTACAGACTCCTGAGGCATTACATGGTTGCTTTCTGCAAGTGTAGGTCCGGAAAACTTCAGTGTGTAGATGCGAGGTTTGAAACTGACTGACTGACTGGATGTGCAACAAACTGTGTTCTTATGCTGTGGTGAACGGAGCATAGAACATGGAACATGGAACATGGAGACATCATGATGTAACGTCTCTATGGTTACAGTGACGGTACAATATGCAAATGAGCCTTTAGAGTAAATGTGTGTGTGTGGACGGTGTATTTGTATTGATAGAGCTCATCCACTTGACATGGTGCATAAAACACTTTGCTCTACTTGTTTTTTTCTATGACCCCATCTTGATCTTGATAGCAAACACTTTAAGAATAAATAAAGAACGATTTTTGTCCATTGTTTCATCAAGTCGGAAATTTGTAAACTGTTGAATCCGGATTTTTAAACATCCCTTTTAAGCCCTCTTGTCTCCAGCCTTCATGCTAAGCTAACCAGCGGCTGGCTTTAGCTTCACGTTGAGCGCGCATGAGAGTAGGGATGAGTATCGTTTGGGTTTTTCCGATACCGATCCTAAACAGAGCCTGAACCCAAACACAATTGAAGAAAAGTTTTTTTTCACTTCAAACTATGCACAACATATGAACTTTTGAAAGTTTACAGTATGATTACAGTGTTTCCCCTCTGTAACAGCGGAAGTGTAGTTAATTGGAATTTGGGGAATATTAATAATTTAATTTGAGATTCATGTTCATTGTGCAGGAACTAAAGACATTTATTGAAAAGCATTTACGTTAGATTGACGCTCCTTGTTTGTCTCAAAGTATTGACGTGCAACACAGAAGAGCTGCAGGAGGCACGAGAGCACATCGCTTTTCTATTGTGTAGAAAAATACATACGAATAGAAGGTAGATGGCTAGCTAGCTGCTGTAGCTACACAAGCGGTGAGCTATCGTTAGCTGCTGCGAGGACAGAGTTATCAGACTGTTTAATTAGGGTGACCAAGCGTCCTCTTTTCCCCGGACATGTCCTCTTTTTGAGACCTTAAAAATGCGTCCGGCAGAGATTCCAAAAACGTCCGGGATTTTGCTTCGTCGTATATTTGTGTTTCTCTGGGTCTTTCACAAACTAGTTATTACGCCCTTACCAGTTTTGGAAATGGTGTCTCGCTTACGTTCCACCTTCTTTCGCGAGCTCTGACTGTAGAGAAAACAGTCATTGGTCGACCGATCTCAATGTTGCCAGATACATAATAATTATCCTCCAAATACGACCACTTTGAGCCTTTGGTACGATACTCCACCATTTCCAATCTGGCAACACTGAGCACTTCACTAGTTGCATTGTTTACAGCACATCTGCAGCCATGCCGAAACGTAAATGTAAGTTTACGGACGAACTAAAAGAAAATACCCATGTTTTCGCCTCGGCCGTGATGCTTCGGAAGCTTTTATTTTAATATGTGGCTATATAAAGCATTTACTATTTATTATTTGTTATTATTGCTTCAATATATGGACAAGACACATTAAAGAAGCGCTGGACTAAATCCCACAAAAAAGATTTGTTTTACATTTGCACTTTTCAGTTTTGTTAAAGTTCAATAAATAGATGTTCATATAGTCATTTGTGTCATTTTTGTCATTTCATTTCACCAATATGGCACCGGTGCTCGGTACATAATCCTACATGAGAGTGGTGAAATCAACTATTGCTAATGTAACCGGGGCGGCCGTTCGCCTGGTCACAAGGGTGACAACGTCACTTTGGGAATCTCACCCAAAGTATATCAGTTGTAATGAAAAAGAAAGGGAGCAGAGAGGTGAAGTTCCAGTTTCATAACAATGTTTTTTTTATTTACAAGTAGGTTTAATATTTAAAAGAAAAGGAATAATCAATCCAGAAACATTGGTCGGTTTTATGGCAAAATATAATCTATGCTTTGAAAAAGGATTACTATACTGGGGTACCCTACCAGTACAAGGTGACTACTTGAGGCCCACCGGGGCGGGGGAGTGAAAGGGGACAAGGGGGCCACCACCAGGTCAAAGGAAAGAAAACACAGCAAATCAAAAAGAATTAAAACACAGCAAACAAACAAAATAAACTGAAAGGGCCTTCCACCTCGTGAGCCACCCCCTGTAGGCCTACTATATGCCCACCTGCACTGGCATTAAAGGGACCCCCAGTATAGGGCGCAGTAATGGTTGTTTATGTAGGACAAAACAAAGACACTAACCCAGAAAGAAAACAAATTAGCAATTCATAATCAAAGATACTATATAAACCGGGTAACCATAATCTATTTTAAATCAAAGGCAAAAACAGCAGTGACCAGGCTCAGCGTTGCACCACCTGATCATTTCCTGTATAAACGAAAGAAAAGGTAAATAACGCCAATAAACATTTCACTGCTAAAAAGCATATTAAAACATGAAACAGAAAACCCCTGACATACCTCTAGATTCCGCTCAAACCCATCCGCACGTGGCGAGTGCTGTGCCTATGCCGTGGGAGACCTACAGCAAGCCCCCCTCTAGCTCTAGTGGGGCAAAAGCTCCCATTTAAAGAGCACCTGGTCACACCTGTTAGGCATCACCAATTAAGGTGGTGTGGCCAAACAGGCAGGGGGGGGGAGGGGGAGAGCTCTACCCATCACACTAAGTAAAGGTTGGGAATAGCTCAAATCAACGAACAATATCTATTTAACTCTCAT